CACATGTTAGTTTTGGAATGAAAACTTAAGATTTTATGAGGAATAATAACTCAAATTTTAGTAAATGCTAAGGAATTCAAATGTAATGAACATCAAGACTATAAACATTACTTTAAAGCTTATGAAATGCCACATAATGTATATGGCAGTGAAACCTTACAAATTTAATATATTAAAAGTCTTTTTATACAAAATGAAATAGAAAAGGAACAAAGTGCTAAAATAGAAAATAATTTTTTAATGAAAATACATTATTTACTTTGGATAAAAGTAAAGTGAATTTGGCAGAAGATATCCAGAAGGCCAAGAGACACATGAAAAGATGTTCATCATCACTTACCATCAGGAAAATGCAAATCAAAGCTACAATGAGATATCGCCTCACACATGTGAGAATATCTAAAATCAACAACACAAGAAACAGCAAGTGTTGGCAAGGGCTTGGAGAAAAAGGAACCTTCATGCACTATTGTTGGTGGGAATGCAAACTGGTGCAGCCACTGTGAAAAACAGTATGGAGAGTCCTCAAAAAGTTAAAAATAGAACTATCTAATGATCCAGCAATCACACTATTTACCCAAAGAATACAAAAACACTAATTCAAAGGGATACATGTACCTATATGATTAAAATAGCATTAATTACAATAACCAAGATATGGCAGCAGTTCAAGTATCCATTGAGGATTGAATGAATAAAGAAGTGAGATATATATATATAATATATAATTAAAAATATATAATACTGATTTATATACACACACAATGGAATATTATTCAGCCATAAAAAAGAGAAATCTTGCCATAATATACTTATATTAATTATAAACAACATAATTATAAAATAATATATAATTATATATAATACACTATAATATATAACATAATACTAAACTATAGCTATATATAGTTATATATAACATATACTAATATAAACTAACATATACTAATATATTTGCTAATAGTAATATATATACTTATATACCAATATATGTACCAATATAACATAATACTAATATATAGACTAATAATACAATACTAATACATATACTAATATATACTAATTATATATACTAATAAAACTATATATAATACAAAATATTAACTATATATAAGTAAAGTGAATTTGAAATTATGTTTAGAAATAATGTTTGGAAATGCATTATGATGTCACAAAGGTTTACCTGAAAGTAATTTGAGTTTGTCACCTCAAGTGTGGAATGTGTTGACAGATATAAAGAACAACTCGAGTTAGATCTACATTAAAAAAAAATTTTTTTTTAAACCAGTAGTTGGTGACCTAAATCTATCCCTCATCTCCCACACTCCAGGTCTTGTGCCTATGAACGTCTCTGAAAATGAGTACATGATTGAGTACATGGTGAATGGGGTTAGAAATGGAAATTATGTTCTGAAAAATGTTGGTAAATAATGGTACATTTAGCATAGTTTTGCATTTCACATTTCAGTTTGCATCTGCTGCACAGACAGGTGCACTCCTTGCTTACTTAAATTGCTTAAATTCTAATGTAGGAGATATTCCAGCCATGATCCCACATAACTCCCCATGGAGGACCTGGTCCCAGACTACCGATTCCAGCTCACCTCTCCCAAGACATGCATCTCTATCTCTTCATCAAAAGAGGGTTTTTTAAATTAAGTTTTTAATTTTAATTCCAATGTAGTTAACATTCAGTGTTATATTGAGACGTACAATATAGTGATTTGACAACCCTATAAATTACTCATGATAGGTTTACTCCTAATCCCCAGCACCTACTTTTCCCATCCCTCACCCCTACCTCCTTGCTGGTAACCATTAATTTTTCTCTGTAGTTAAGAGTCTTTTTCTTTTGTTCCTTTTTTCCTTTGTTTTGCTTTGTTTCTTAAATTCCACATCTGAGTGAAATCATTTGGTATTTGTCTTTCTCTGGCTGACTGACTTGACAGCATCATACCATCTAGTTCCATCCACGTTGAGGTGAATGGCAAGATTTCACTCTCTTTTATGGCTGAGTAATATTCCATCGTGTATATATATTATATATATATAACATCTTCTCATCCAATCATCAGTCGATGGACACTTCTTTGCTTCAATAATTTGGTTATTGTAAATAATGCTACAATAAACATATGGGTGCATATATCCTTTTGAATTAGTGTTTACCTATTCTTTGGGTTAATACCCACTAGTTCAATTACTGGGTAGTAAGGTACTTCTATTTTGGAGTAAATCCATACTGTCTTCTACAGAGTCTGCACCAGTTTGCATTCCCATAAACGGTACAGGAGGGTTCCTTTTTCTCCACATCCTTGCCAAAAGTTGTTTCTTTTCTTCTCACAAGTTTTTGAGGAAAGCCACTTTCACCCTTAAAATATAACCATGTTAACTTTCAACACACATGTCCTGCACAACTCCAATCCTTTTTTTTTAAAGATTTTATTTATTTGAGAGAGAGAGAGAGAAAGCATGAGAGGGGGTAGAGTCAGAGGGAGAAGCAGACTCCCCGCTGAGCGGGGAGCCTGATGCGGGACTCGATCCCGGGACTCCAGGATCATGACCTGAGCCGAAGGCAGTCCCTTAACCAACTGAACCACCGAGGCGCCCACACAACTCCAATCTTTACCTCACTGTTCAAACATGAACTTAAATTCGTAGGAAGTAGTCCCGTCCCACTGGACGCAAAAGAAAGAGAAACGATTAGAAATTCCAAAAAAGTCGTGCCCCAGAAGAAGCCAGACCCCGCCCACCTCGCTGAGCGGTCATGGCCTCTCTCCGGAAATCCGAGCTAGGGCAAACCTGACGACTCACCAAGTGCCGGAAATTCTCCGCCCAGTTTCGTCCTGGCCCCGCCCTCCCGACAACTTGGCTCCGCCGGCCATTTCAGTTTCTCTCCCATTACCGGAAGCGCTCCTCCATAGCTCCGCCCCATCCTGCCCCCTGGGTTTAGGGCCAAGATGTGGGCAGGGAGTGAGGTCCCCTACTGCCGGAAGCGCAATAGCCAGGCCTCGCCCCAGCCCCGCCCACAGGCGGTGCGCGTCAGAGCCAGGCCACTATTCGCACCCCGCTCATTACCGGAAGCACTCTCCGCGGACCCTGCCCAATCCCGCCGTTCCACCGGCGCGCACGCGCAGCATTTCGCCGACTCGGAAGCGGCTGGCAGAGAGCGAACGTCAAATCGGCCTCTGAGGGTTTTGAACTTTCTCTTTTCTACGTGAGCATCTCAGTCCCCAGGCCTACAACCCTGGGGTCTGGGGTCTCCGCGCACATTAGAGTCCCCTCAC